TTCTAGTAACTTTATATGCTTATTATTATAGTAGCACTACTAGTGCTTTTTTTTTTATTAAGTGTTATATATTAGCTAACTTCTAGGCTAATGCCTACACCTTATGCGTATAGCAGAGCTGTGGTCTGCATTGTAACTACTATATATAAGGGGTAGTAGCTTTTTCTTTCTTATATACTAGATAAATAAACTGTCTTTTTTACATATCCTTCTCTTTTAATTTTATAATAAGAAAAATAAGTGTGTATAATAAAAAAATAAAAAAGATAGGCCTTATATAAAGGCGTTGTTAGTCTAGTTAGTCTAAGGCATCTTTACACACAAGATTTAGCTAGTCTACAGATGCTTTTATTTAGACAGAGAGGTAGTTAGTTAGGACTAATAATTAAAGAGCCTAGTTTAGTGTTTTTTTTATATATACATCTACTAAGTTATTTTTACTATTAATTTACTTTATCTTAGTAATTTTTCTCTTTTTATATAATTTATAGAGTAATATAATGTTAATTATAAGTTACTTTTTACTAGTAGTGCCTAGCTTAATAAGGTAATTATATAGAAACCTTAAATTTATGTAAATTACTACTAAAATTAGTAGTAGTTTAAGTGTTTATATAATTTACTATAAAGTTATACTAAGTGTAATTATATTATTAAACCCTCTAACTATTTTATATAGTTTACTAGTAAGGACACTCTTAGTTACTCTTTTACACTTAGTAGAATTTTAGTGTATAATGTTGCCTAGTATTTTAAAGTAGTTGCTTTACTTTATATAGTTTTTATTACTTACTATAATTAAAAATCCTAGCTATAAGCTAAAGTTCTTATTATTAGTAAATAATTTATTTATAAAAATAAACAGCTTTACATAATTAAGTTATAATAGTAAAAAGGTAAGACTGCGCTTACTATTGTCTATCTACTATTAGATTTATATATTAAGTATGTTAATGTTAACGTACTTCATGGGCGAGTTGCTCACACACCCGAGTCGCTCACTTTTGCCAAGACCCCACTAAACCACCCTTCCTACACTAATGCATTCCCCACAACACTACTTAGACGCGCTAAAAGAACGTTAGATACAGCTTACACTCTAAGCTTTTAAATAAGACATAAAACTCTTAAAGAAATGTGCTATAGCTATGTGCAAAGTTTTATAAAAAACAATAAATAACTACAGCGCTAGACAACCTTTACAAGCTAATTCTACAGCTAAATTACAGAGGCTAGGCAATAAAAAGAAGCAGGTAATTGTTAAGACTATACTTAAGCTATATGCGCAAGGAATTTCCCCTTAGATAGCATTTATAGCTAATATAGCTAATTCTTTGCGCGCTAAGCGTAATCTAGGCTATGTTTGCATAAACTAGCCTAGTACGTTTATAAAGCGTTATTTAGAGCTTAAAGTAACGTTTAAGCGTAAGTACAACTATAAGAGAGCCCTCTACAAGAGTCCTAGAGTAATTTAGGGCAGGTTTAGCCTTGTAGAGAATATTAAAGCTAAGTATAGCATCTAGGATAATAACACGTATAAGTTTAGCAAAACAGGGTTTATAATTAGCTAGATATCTCTTAACTATACTTGCGCTTAAAACTTCACTTTAAGCTTTAAATAACACTTTATAAACATACTAGGCTAGTTTATGCAAACATGGCCTAGATTACGCTTAGCGCGCAAAGAATTAGCTATATTAGCTATAAATGCTATCTAAGGGGAAATTCCTCGCGCATATAGCTTAAGTATAGTCTTAACAATCACCTGCTCCTTTTTATTGCCTAGCCTTTATAATTTAGCTGTAGAATTAGCTTGTAAAGGTTGTCTAGCGCTGTAGTTATTTGTTGTCTTTTATAGGACCCTACACATAGCTATAGCATATTTTTTTAAGAGTTTTATGTCTTATTTAAAAGCTTAGAGCGCAAGCTGTATCTAACGTTCTTTTAGCGCGTCTAAGTGGTGTTGTGGGGAATGCATTAGTGTAGGAAGGGTGGTTTAGTGGGGTCTTGGCAAAAGTAAGCGACTCAGGTGTGTGAGCAACTCGCCTATGAAGTACGTTATTATGCAAAGAGTCTATAGTTTATGTAGTAATAAAAAGGTTAAATGCTACCTCTAGTTAACACATAGATGCAATGTATACCTCTTTTACATATTACTTAATATATTGTTGTGCAGCATCCTTATCCTCTAGGTTAATTATATAAAAGTAGCTTACTTATCTTTTTTAAGTAAGAACTACTATATTGTATGTAAGTTTAATCCTTCTGCTGTTAAACTTAATAAGCTGCTTCTCTGCTAGGATAGTCTTGCCCTTTATGTAAAACTTTGCTTTACTTTTTACACAGAACTTTGCTTTCTGCAGTTCTTTCTCTTCTCTTTGCGTAAAATCCTTTGTTATAATGCTTAAGGTGTTATATAAATGCGTCTAGTTATTTCTAGGGCCTATGTTGTGCATATAGTGCATATTTGCCTAACCTTCTAGAATATCTAAAAAGATGTCTGTGTACTAAGTTTCCTAGATATTTAGCTATTAATATAAATTAATAAAAATCTTTATTTTGTTTATAAAAATGTTATATAGTTAACTTATATAGTTATTTTTTTTTATACTTTTTAGAATTATATAATTTTGTCTGCTAAGAGTTTTTCTTTAGCAGTTTCTCTCTAGGGTGGAAGTTTGTACAGGTTGTAATATAGTATAGATTGTGTAGGTAGTATTAGTAGTGTATACACTACTGCAGGCAGTGGTGTGTACGATTAAGGGTGTGGAGCTGGCGTTAGGTAGAGTAGTATGTATTATTTGTACAGTAATTAGTGTAGTGCTAGCTAAGGTGTAGAAGTAGGTAATACTAGTACATTTAGTGTTAATAGCAGCATTATGTTTAGTCTACTTCTATGTAGAGCTTTATATAGTAATAGAGGTTGCGTATAAAGCTTTTCTAGTGTAATTACTTTTTTTTATACTATATTATACAGCTTCTAGGCTTAGGTACCTTTAGTGCCTAGCTATAGTGTAATTCTTTTATCTTCTAGCACTTATATAAGCTCTCTTTTAAACACGCAGCTAAGTGCTAAGAAGTCTTATAGTGTCTATTTTTTAAAAATTTTTATGTATAAACTTAGAAAAGTAGCGCTTTTTTAAGTTGTTATATGTAGATCTATAATTATATAACTTATATATAATTAAGTTTATAAGCTTGTTAGAGCCTTTAACATGTTAATCTTATTATTTTAGTACTTTAGGCTAGTCTTATTCTGTAGTGTTGCCTCTAATATCTCTATGTCTTTTATAAGTTATTTATATAATAGAAATTATTTCTTATTCTTTTTATTATTATGTAGAGTTGTTAGTTACTAGTAGGATTTTATTATAATAGTATAGTTAATTGCTTTTCTAGTAGATTACGCAGGTACTCCTGTTGTCTAGCTGCTAGGTTGTGCAGCTTTAATAGCTTTAGTGTGCGTCTTACACTATCTCCTTTTTGCTTTATATAGTAGCAGGGCTTGCTGTATAATGTAAAGGATTAATCTACTATCCTAAGGGATAGGTAACTAAATAAAGTACTTTATAAAGTGTAGGTGCTCTATTGTTACTTTTTCTAAAAGATAGGTAACAAAACAAAGTACTTTATAAAGTGTAGGTACTTTATTATTACTTTTACTAATTTATAGTTAATTAAATTAACTACTAATTAGTGTTAAATAGGCTCTAATAGCTAGCTGCTTATAGTATAAGCACTTAAGTAGTAAGAGTAAGAGTAGTGTACAGTGTGCATAGTGTATAAAGTAGGTAAGGTAAGAGCAACATGTTTCTAGTTCTATTACTCTTATCTTTCCTCTGTACAGAGGAAAAGGGGGATATCTAGATGTTTGCGCACAGAGGTTCGCGCACAAGCATTATGTGACATAGATACGTGGTCCTGCTCGTGCGCGATCGCTCGTATCTAGATCGTGACGCTGCTGCTGCGTACAGACATAACTTTTATATAAACTTAAAAATAAAAATGCTTACATAATAAAATTAATAACATAACTAAGATAGTAAACTCTTTTATTCTTAAAATTTTAATGTAAATTAAGTTTATTAGAATACTACTTGCTAATTATATAATAAAAAGTGTTATTAGTGCTAGCATTATCTCTAATAACTGCTTCTAGATTTCTAGTAATCTTGTACTCTTTAAGTACTATATAAAGTATAGAGAACTGTTCTTTACTAGAATAGCCTAAGACTAGTTATAAAGCAAGAAGGTGTTTAGTAATAGTATTATCTAAGCTTTATACAAAGTGTCTAGTAATTATAATAAATAGGATTTAGTTTAGAGAGGTCTAGAGATTAAGCGCAATATTAATTTTTAAAGTTGCTGTTCAAATCTTGCGCTAAAGAATAAGCTTTTTTTTATACTAATAGCTTTAGATTGCCTTATAAATAGTAAAGTGTAAAACTAGAATAGCCTCTTTAGCAACAGGATTTAATGCTTGTATAAAAGCCTAAAAGGACAATAATTTAACAACTAAGAGAGTAAGACGCTGTTAAACAATTAGTTGTACAAGAGCTTTTTAAATAATATCTTTGTCTCTTATGCAAGGTTCTGCGCAGTTCTATAGCTTTTAGAGTTTAATAGCACCTGCTTATTATATAAGAGAAAGAGTACCCTTTGCTAAAACTTAGTAGTTAGATTTTAAGTGCCTTTAAAAGTTTATAATAACCTCTAAAGTGTAGTTGCAATTGTAGAAATTATAGTATTAAAGAAGACAGCTGTTTTATTTAGTAGGTTTATTAGACATTAGTAGTTGTACAAAGTTTCTAATGTCACCGCTCTTATTTTTAGACACTAGAGTTAAGCTTAATTTATAGGATTCTATTATAGTTACAAGACTTTTAAAGTTGTTTTGTTAATAAGGAAGCAAATTTTTAGCTAAGACTATAAATTAATTCAAGGATCTAATCTAGATTCAGGATAGCGTGGATTCGGATCGATCCACAAATCGGATCGATCTATCGCCAGCACTGCTCAGAATGTTCTAGCCACAGACTCCCCCGATCACGTGTTCTTGGTGTGGCTAATTGAGATAAGTCATCTCGCTTAATTTGGGAGGTACCGATCCGCGTGGCTACATTGCATGATACATCCTCTTTCAGCCGCCGTAGGGCTGATAAAGACCTACCAGCGTAATACTAAGGCTGAAAGAGTTAGATACAAATATCAGACTTTATACGGATGACAGATGGCTCTGCGTTAGGTCTCTACAAGATGAGACCTTCCTTGCTATAATATAACGTCCTCGTAAGATTGGCACGGAGGGGACGACAAGAGTTGTAATTTTCTAGGCAGCAGTGGTGGGGAGGTAGAAGAAGACCTTAAGTTAAGAATACAAGCAGAGAAATAAATATAAGTAATTGCGCCGAGGGTTTCTGCAACTGCGAAACCTAGGTACCTATTATTTTGCTCGCTACGTAGTGATGCTCGCTACGTAGTGAGGGATAGTAAGATGTGTCTGGTCTCCCTCAACCTTCGCATCCATCTATTATGAGCAGCATCCAGCGTTTGTCCTTTTGTTCATTATCTGCTATCGCTCCGAAGCGCGCCTGGGCAGCCACTGTCAACGAACCAACCTAGATATCCTACTATTATCGCCACGGCTGAACAGTCGCCCAATTACAAGAAGCTGTTTCTCGAAGAAAAACGCAGGCGTGAAGAGGAGCAATGCAGGCGCGAAGCGGCGGAGCAGGCGCAGCAGGAAGAACAACGCAGACGCGAGGCAGCAGAGGAGGCCCAGAAGGAAGAGCAACGAAAACGCGAACAGGCGGAAGAGAGAACCCGCAAGACCACGCTCCCTGAGTTTCTCAACGCTTGCCACAATTACCTTCACTTAGGTCTCACCATCCAAACTAATGCAACCTTGTTGACACAGGGCGACCCTGCAGATGCAAATAACAAACGTTGGCCCGAGAGAATCTGCAAATAGGAAGACTTTCCAGCGTTTTAAGAAGCAATTTAGGATAACCTTATAAAGTCAGCGTTTGTCTTAGAGCAATTCTTCACTTTAGTACACACCTTACAAGAGTCCAGGGAGGCGGTTCAACAAAGGATGCTGAGCTCAGAGCTTGACCTTCACCTCTTTTAGCGGTCCACTGTTAAGGACCCCGTGTCTTTAATTGTTAAACAGCTGTACAAAAGCTGAGCCCTTTAACAGAAGTTTAGTTTGCAAAGGTCCATAAATTTTAAGAATCATGCTAACACCTTTACTCTAGACGTGCTGGCGAACAGCATGGAGCAAATGTCTGTGTCTAGCAATCGACGGCGATAGTCACCACGCTTGTTAGCTAAGGAGCCGCCCGGTCAATCAGAGCCCTCGGGGGGGGCATAACGTTCAGAAACAACACAATCCTCCTGTCCCGGCGCGGATTAGTTCTGCGTCTACAACACCAGCACTCAGAATCAAGAGAATCAGATTCCAGCCTTTATCATAGAATACAAGGCACACCAATGTGGCTGATGCCCATCCCCGACACACCGATGTGGCTAGAGAAGTGGAACAGACGCAACTAACCATAATTTAAACATGTTTTACACAACGCATACTAGAGCAAACTGCGTGAAAATTAACATAAAGGTGCACTTATATTAGGTATACATTTTTTTTTAAAAAAAGAATATAAGAAATGCATAAGGTGACAGAGAAATAGTGTTACTAGGGTTTATCTAAAGAAATTCTAACTAACTAGCGCGTCTAAAAGAGGAGATTCTGCTCAACTTTTCGTTCTATAAACCCGAATATAATAAGCAGGGCAAGCTCTGCTAATAAAGTATTTTTAGTACTTTAATATAAACAGCTTATTTTTGCCTAAGATAATAACGTTTAAAACTTTATAATTAATAATAATATACTTGCTTAACTTATATACTATTTTTTTTTACAACTGCTAATTTTTCTATTAGCTACAAGTATGTGTACTTAGTTGTCTTATTCTATGTAACTATAATTATTAGCAGAGCTTGCTCTGCTTATTATCTTTAGGTTTGTAGAATAAAAAGTTAAGTAGAATCTCCTCTTTTAAACGCGCTAGTTAGTTATAATTTCTTTAGATAAACTCTAGTAACGCTATTTCTCTATCATATTATGTATTTCTTACATTCTTTTTAAAAAATAATGTATACCTAATATAAGTACACCTTTACGTTAATTTGCTCGCAGTTTGCTCTAGCATATGTTATGTAAAACATGTTTAAATTATAGTTAGTTGCGTCTATTCCACGTCTCTCGCTACATGTTACAATCCTTGGTCCGGATTTAGGAGCACGCGGGCCTGAGCTTATTTCAGAGGGGATAGGCAGGCTACAGTCGGTTGTACGGGCCTCCGTTATGCCTGGGGTTTGGAGTAGGGTAAGAGTGGCCGGATCGTGGTTTGCTCTTTACAGCGGTATGAGGCGCTGGGTTAAACAGCTTAGTTAAGCAGAATTAGAGGTATATATAGAGCAAGATATACAATTAGAACTTAGCTTATTAAAAAGTTAAAAAGTGCTACTTAGTCTATATAAGATAAACTAAAGATTAATTAACGTACCTAACAGGTTAGCCGGCTACACAGGTTGGCCGGCCACTTTTGCCAAGCCCCTACTAAAACCACCCTATTCTGGCGCAAAACAGCCTACTTTAGCCCTGTATAAAGCAATAGAATATAAGATATTATTTAAAGTCTACTTCTGCTACTTGCTTATACATCCATAAGTTATGCTTAGTCTAATTACACTACTTATAACGTACCTAACGGGTTGGCCGGCCACACGGGTTGGCCGGCCACTTTTGCCAAGCCCCTACTAAAACCACCCTATTCTCTCGCAAAACAGCCCACTTTAGCCCTATATAAAGTAATACAACACAAGATATTATTTAGAGTCTACTTCTGCTACTTGCTTACACGTACGCAAGTTATGCCTAGTCTAATTACACTGCCTGCATTGCCTTTAACTTAGCTTACCTCCTTTAGCGTGCACCTGCGTCTTTAGCTTCTTCCTATTACTACACGCTCTAAACTCCTTTAGAGCAGTTAGACAAGCCCTATCCTTAACTATTAAGGTTTTTTTTGCCTAAATCTACTTTCTTTTATGTAATCTATGTTGCGTAGCAGCCTTATTTACTGCTTAAAGCTCTATAATCTTATAGCCTACTTTATTATGTTAATGCCCTAGATAACTGTTGTCTACTTCTTATTACTTTACTATATTACCTTTAGCTGTCTTTATCTCTTTAAAGCTATAACAACTGCTTTAGTTAATATCTAGCTTATTATAAAGCCTAACTTATTAAAGTTATACCTATCTTTATCCTAGATACTGTACTTAGCTTTTATGTTAGCTACTAGGTAAAACTAGCCCTAGATAACCTCTAGATCCTTATAGAGCACTCTTTTATAATTATACTTATAATTAAACTTTATTATAAACTTAGGGCAGTGCTTAACCTACATACTAGTCTAGTTTAAGCTAACCTAGCCTAGATTGCGCTCTGCAGGCAAGGAATTAGCTATATTAGCTACAGCTGCAAGCCTAAGGGGAAATCTGCGCGTAATAAGCTTAAGTATGTACTTAACAACTACCTTCTTCTTAAGCTTAGTTAGATTCCTTAATTTAGGCTAGCATTCTGCTTGTAAAGGCTGTCTAGCGCGTTAATTACTTAGTGTTGTGTAAGAGACATTATAGATAGCTGCAGCGCGTTGCAAGAAGAGTTTTAAGTCTTATTTAAGAGCCTAAAGAGCAAGCTATATCTAACGTTCTTTAGAAGATTTAATCTAGTGTTGTTGTTAAGGCATTATGTAGATAGGTAGAGTTTAGTGGGGGCTTAGCAAAAGTGGCCGGCCAACCCGTGTGGCCGGCTAACCCGTTAGGTACGTTATTACTTTTAACTTAGCTTACCTTTTTTAGCGCGCACTTATGTCTTTAGCTTCTTTCTATTACTACGCGCTCTAAACTCCTTTAGAGCAGTTAAACAAGCTTTATTCTTAACTATTAAGGTTTTTTCTACTTAAATCTACTTTTTTTTTATGCAATTTATGTTATGTAGCAGCCTTATTTACTACTTAAAGCTTTATAATCTTCTTTTATACTAACACTAGCTTATGTGGAATAATTACTACCCCCTTTAAGACTTTTTTAAAGGCCTTTACTATAGACATTAGTAAGCTATTTACATACCTCTAAATTTTTACTTTTATAAGCATTAATTATAACTTAAATTTAAAAGTATTACTTAGAGTTTATAACTACTAAGGCTTATTATTAATAAGTAGTAGTAGTAATAAAGTTGTTAGATTGAAGCACTGTTTCTAGGCTTCCTGAGATGAATGATGGGTTTGGATATGATGTATGGGATGTGTAACGGCGCAGGCAAGACAATGGGTCCGAATGCGGTATGAATCCACTCAGAGGCATATGGGAGTGCGTGGGGACTCA